CTCGCTCGCTCGCTCGCTCGCTCGCCCACCTTGAGCTCACTTTGTAGCCCAAACTGGTCTCAAACTCGCAATGATCCTTCTGCCTCAGCCTCTCAAGTGCTGGGATTACAGGCATGCACTGCCACACCCAGCTAAGGTTTGGCTTTCTTAAAAAAGATTCCACTTTTAAAAAGAGTGGGACCCTTTAAGTTTTTCCTCCAATAGAATTTCAGCTTTGAAAGGAAAACAATGTATCTTCTAAAATTATTTGGTAATGGCTAGCTAATCAAGCCAGTTTTAAAAAAAAATTTTTTTTTTTAAATCTTTCATTTATTTGGTACAAGGTCTCACTTCACAGCTCAGACTTGTATTGATCCTCCTGGGATTACAGGTATGCGGCACTATGCCCAGTTTCAGTGGCCAGCTCTGTGTGGGGCTAGCAGGCATGTGGTACCAGGGATTGAACCAGATTTTGTACTTGCCAGGCAGGCATCTAGACTACAGAGCTATTTCCTCGGCTCTCAAGCTAGTTTTTTAATGACTGCTAAGAGAATTCTTTTAATAACATCATTCACTAATAGGCATTTTCATTCTTTTTTTGGTACTAAATTAGATCTTATTGGAGACATTTCTTTTTCTACGTTAGAATCTCTATTAATATTTCAGCCCACTTAAAGTATAAACTAAGTATATATAGTAATTTGAAAGAAAAATAAAACTTCCCTTCCTCACTAATGAGTATTTAATATCAGGTATCTTTCTGTTTATCCTCTTTATGCTACATAAGCTCTTACAGAAACCAGTTCTTTTATTCTCACATTCATTGTCTATACTCCCCTTTGATTTATTTTGCTATGTGTGCATGTGTTGAATGAAAAGGAACAACAGGAAGAGTTATACAATCTTCAAATCTTTATATAATTTTTTCCATGATATGCTTGGAGACTTCGTGTTTAATCTTATCCTGGCACATTTAATGCAACATTTGATGATGTTTGTATTAAATACCAATTTGACTAGTTCAGAATGACAAAGTATTATTTTTAGACTCAAATACCTTGGATAGTTCATCTCACTATATATGGTATATGGCTGGTATCACAGGAAACATACTTTTAGAGATTGTGTGGAAATCGTTTCACAGAAAATTTTAAAGTAAGATTATACTGTTTTATTTTAAATGAATTGTGGGGGGGCCCAGCCCTAGCTCAGTTCTTTAAGTGGCTGCTTCCACAATGCTGGCAGCCTCAGTTTGCTGTAGTTCGATCCCCACAACACTCCAGCCATGCAAAAGTGCCCTGAAGGCATTCAAGGAGCAAAACACACACACACACACACAAAATTCCTTAAATGAATTGTGTTTTCAGTAAAGGGGTGTGTGTGTGTGTGTGTGTGTGTGTATGTTTATGTTTTGTCCTCTTTGGAATAGAAAAGCATGACAAGGAGACTACTATCATATCTTAGTGAGAACACTATTCGTACACCAGAATGTATACATTTTTCATGGACCTGCTGACTCTTACCCAAAATTCTGTTTTGGAAAAAATTAAGTTTTATTACTGGATAAATTCTTTTTGAGCTTTTTATTATGGCTTTTCCTTTGGGCTTGAATAATTATGTCAGTATTTTAAGGATTGGGAAAACTTGAATTTTCGCATTATGAGTGCATTGTCCATCTCTTAGAACTTGATCTCTTAGAACTTGAAAACAGAGTGATATGGCTACGTAGGCTCCAAAGCAATGGAAGGTTGTGGAAGAGCGTTTGTTCATTTTTGCAGGTTTGTTTGAAAAAATTACAGTGGATTTGTAGGAAGTACTTTAATTTTCATTGACTGTATTTTTGTATCATAATAGATTTGTGAAATAAATTATCAGCAAACCAGAGTTTATTGTCATGAGCAGATTTGGGGAAGGTTAAGGATAGAGAAATGGTACTCTGTAGATTTAGAAAATCTTCATAGGTCATTTTACTTTCTTCCTTTTTTTTTTTTTTTTTTTTTTGGCAGTACTGAGGATCAAACTCAGGACCTTACACTTGCCAGGCAGTGCTTATGCCACTGAGCTATCTCCCCAGCCCTCATAGGTCATTTTATATGTTTATTTTTGGATAATGTTTTCATTTCAGATTGAACTA